ATATATATATATATATGCATATATATACACACACACACACATATATATATTAACTTCAAAGGAACATAAGCAATAAGATTTATAACAAATTTCACAATAGAAATTATTGACAACAGGAGAAATTATTTGTGTACATGCTGGAAGAGTATATTTTATAACCCAGAATTCTGTTAGTTGAAAATGTACTTGATGAAAAAGTTGTTTTTCCAGAAAGCTTGCCTAAAATTAAAAGACATAGAAAGACTGTGGGAAAGAAAGGGTAGAAATAGGATATTCTGTAAACATTAAGTAAGGGTGATGTAACTGTATTGGGAGAGGGGTGGCGCCATCAGCTGAGCTCTGGATTCTGAACCACAAGGCTTATAGTTTGAGCCCACCAGCCACTCTGCAGAAGAAAGATGGGGCCTGCTCCTGAAATATACAGCCTCAGAAACCCTAGACCGGGTCGCTGTGAATCTTTGCCGAACACAAAATCTCATCTTTCTCCTGCTTAGCAGCTGGTGGGCTTAAACTGCTGGCCTTAATAGTAATATTTAAAGACCCGAGAACATGACATAAGGAATAAAGTTTCAGTTTATAATGTAGATAGAACAATTCCAATTTTGTCTGCACCATAAAGATTTACAGCCTCGGAAACCCTGTACAGGGTCGCTATGAGTTGGAACCGACTCCACGGCACAATACCAACAACAACAATAACGTAAAATCCTGGTGTGACACTGTAAAATAAGCATTTGACTGCTAACCTCAAGGTTTTGGCTCATAGCAACCCTTGTATAGGGTTTCCGAGAAGCAGCTGGTGGGTTTGAACTACCAACCTTGTGGTTTGCAATCCTGTGCTGATTCACAGCACCATACCAGGACTTCAAAAAAGAATATCATAGTCATGCTGTAAAAATCCCTATAGAGTACTGGTTACCCTGGGCTGCTAACTCACCACCACCACCACCACCAATAGTCATGAGACTAGTAAAGGTCCACAAAGTCAATAGTTTGTTTGTTTTTTTTCTTTGAAAGGACTAGTAAACACCTAACGAGCTCTGGTAGCACATTGGATTGTAAGCTGGGCTGCTACACACAAGTTTGTGCAAGTTTTAATCTACCAGTCGCTCCACAGTAGAAAGATGACACTTTCTGTTCCTGTAAACATTTAGTCTTGGAAATTCTAACCAGGGTTGCTTTAGTCAGAACCAACTCAATGGTACACAACCATCACCTCCACCAATAAACACTTGGTGAGACTGTTAGAAATGTTTGAAAACAGAGAGAAAGAAAGAGAGGAGAAAAGATCCAGACAATCAATACCTTGAATGAAAGGAGTCTTACTGAAGATTCTGTGATAAGACAAAGGTTGGAAGAAGGTACTTTTTATTATCAAAGAAATTAAATTTGTAATTTAAAGCATTTCAAAAGAGAAAAATTGAAACCCAAATGAAGTGAAACATAAACAGCGCATTTTAATTGTTTTACAAGACCAGCATTATTTATAAACTAAGCTTCTGAAAGGTATTATATAAGAGTGGAAAATTACATGCCAGTCTTACTTATGTATATAAATGAAAAAATCCTAAACAAGTGAAGAGAGACACAAATAAATGGTGTAAAAATCAAAAGGAAGAACTATAACTTAGGTTAACTCACAAATTTTGTATATGGAAAATACATATGTGAATTACTAGAATTTGTTAGCTTAGTAGGGTTGTTGATACATAAGAATTTTATTTCTTAAAGTTGCAACAACCAAGTATAATTTAAAAAAGGTATTAACAGTAATATCAAAAATATCAAATCCAATAATTAATAGAATGAAATATGTTTAAGACTTTAACATAGAAAACAAAATATTGACAGAAAATGTGGAAGTGCTACATGAATATAGAGGTATATGCTGTGATCATGAATTGGAAAACTTAACATCATAATCAGATTTTCTAATATTAATATATAGCTTTAGTGAAAGCTCAGTGTATATTTTAGCAATTTTTTCAGTAATTGTGCTGCTTCAAAATGTATGTGTATATTCAAACGGCCAGGAATAATAAAAATATATTTTGCAAAAAGGAGAATTGATTTATTATGTATCAGTGTATTTTGTAAAGCTATATAGTTGTCGACACTGTGGTACTAGCACAAAGATTTTTTTTAAATAGGCTAATGAAAAAATAATAGTTTATCCAGAAACCCACACATGCTTAAGTAACACTTGATTCATGATAAAGTTGGTCTTACAGGCGTGTACAGTGAGTTGGTGTGTTTTTTTAAATTCTCCTCTTTATATCACACTCAAAAGTCAGTTCCAGATAGAGTGTAGATGTAAATATAAAGAAAAAACCTTCTAATAGGTAAAGCAGTTACCTCCATGAATTGAGAACAGCAAGAGTTTAAAACAGAACACCAAAATCAGTAGCTATCAGTAAAAGAAGAAGAAAGTGAATTACATTAAGATTAAGAACTGCCTTCTTTCAGAGCACAAAGGAGCTCAAAGGAGTACACACTATATGTTGTTGTTGTTGTTGTTGTTATATGATTGATATCAAGTCGATTCTGACTCAAAGCAAAACTTTATAGGGTTTCCAAGGAGCAGCTGATGGGTTTAAACTGCTTACTTTGTGGTTGGCAGTCTAAGGCTGATCCGACAGCGCCATACCAGGACTCCACATATTATATGATTCCATTTATATAAAATTTGAAAATAGATGAAATGTCTATTTAAATAGGTAGTAAACTAAATAGATGGTTGTTGTAGTTGTTGTTAAGTGCTATTGAGTCCATTCCAACCCATAGCGACCCTGTATAGGGTTTCCAAGGAGCAGCTGGTGAGCTTGAACCACCGACCTTGCAGTTCAAATGATTTGGCAGTCTAAAACTAAATAGGTAGTAAACTATAAATAAAAACAAGTAAGTTATCCATAAATGTCCAGATAGTGATTGCTTTTAGAAAGTTGAGAAGTTGTAGTAATTGAGGGGAGGTTAAAAGGGGTATTTTGGGGTTCGTGGCAATGTTGTTTTCTTAACCTGAGTGACTATAGTTTTATGAGTTTTTACATTGTAATAATCCAAAGAGCTCCATGTGTTTATTTTGTGTATTAGTGTGTATGTGTTATTTTACACACACAAAGTGTTTAACTACAAAGGAAGCTTTATGCAAGAAGAGGGGAAAAGTCAGGGTCACTCACATTATTTGTTATTTCGTCTCTCAGTGGTGTACCCCATAGTACAGTAGACATGGAAAGACTTGGTCAGTGAAAGATGGGGTGTGGGTGAAGTGAACAAGCTTGACTGGAAAGAAAACAAAATTCAACTGTAAAAAAGTGTATGTGAGATGCTGATGTTTTTAACTTAGTAATATTATCTTTTACAGAGAAAAAGTGTTCATAGTCGGTTGGGGGTTATTTATAATCCTACATCAAAAATAACTGAAGAGAATACGGCTGTTTCAAGAGGAATTTTGACAGCTTTTCTTACACAGAAAAACAGGAATTTGAAATACTTACTCAGGAAACTGACAAAGGAAGAAATTGCTACAGCTATTTACTTTGGAGATAAAATTAAAACATTCCTTACTGAGGTCAGTGGCTATTTGTGTGAAATAGTCAATATGTACATGTGTATTTTAAATTATAAGTTAGGGCATTTTGAAATACGTTGTTACCGAAAAACATCAATCAATGAATATAATCAGTTGAGCATAATCAACATTCCCTTTCCAGTGTGAAAAGATAAATGCTAACTAAGGTGACTTCTAGTGGAAACATTTAACAAATCTAATTCCCTATGTTCCATCTGCCACCTCATGACCAAAGCTAATTAATGTTGACAGCATTCTAGTTTGGACATGTACTTAAGGAACTAATTGGGGATTAAATCATTCGGCAGGTATTTCACTGAAAGGGTCTGCTACAGGGGAAGTTCTAAAGATAGAAAATAACTTCTGGAGTGGGAGAAAGATTTAATAATCTACACAAAAAGTATTGACTATTGAGCAAATGTTAGAGATATTTTTATGATCCAGGCAAATAGAGACCCTACTCTTGGAGAGGTTACATATTAATGGGAAAAGCAGACCGAATATATGAAGGGGCTTCAGAAAAATTGTGGAAAAATTCCATTATCTCTTAATACAGTTTTCCATGAACTTTTGAAGCCTTGTACCAAGTAGTGTAAGTGCTACTGGAAAACTAAGACACATAAAACGGGAGATAGTTTTGTGGATGTTATTTTAGATGCAGTGGTTAGGGAAGACATCTCTAAAAAGCTTACATTTGAGCAGGCCTTTGAATGAAATGAGAGAGAGGGCCATGGAAAGGCCTGGAAAAAGAGTATACACCAGGTACAGGAAGATAGCACCTCCAAAGGTGTTGACACACAGACAGTTATACCGGGTTAGAGGCATAGAATAACCCCATATACTTCAGGCACTTGTATTTGAAGTCATCAGTAACCGTCTGTGGCTTGTAGCTACCATACTGCACAGTGCAGAAGAGCATTCCATCATTGCAGCCCCACCTGCGATCTGAAGTAGAATCTACATTTTAACAAGATACCCGCGTGATTTGTATGCACAATAAAGTTTGGGAAGTACGATATGGAGAAGGATGTCTTAATATGATGGAGTAAGAGACCTATTTGTAGTTTATTTTCTATTAATGTCTAAATATTTTTTTACTCTTTGACCAAGGTATACTTTTGGTATTTCAGTATCTAAATGGACTTCAGGTAGTCCCCAACTTATAACGAGGCATTCCTATGACTCAGTCATAATTTGTTTTGGGTATAAGTTGAATACATCATTTTTTTAACAGTTTTCATTCTTATTTGTCTTTACAAATCATAACTTTGAACATCTGTGAATGAACATCTAAGAATGATAGCATCAGCAAATCACTCAGTAATTTGCTGTAATACTGTACATAGTACATTCAACTAATGATACCATTGTATGTACCTCATTTACCTAATGGTAAAATGTACAAAACCAACGTCTTAAGTGCAGCTTATTGTAACTTGAATATGTTGTAAGTCGGATACTACCTGTAGTACTAATGTGTTCCCATAGGATTAGTTTAATAGTATAAAATAGCATGTTTTATAAAGCACTGCTATTTAAATTGAGAGCACCAAAATGAAAGAGGAGAGAAATGAGTTCGGAATTTAATAAACATTTATCATTTCATTTTGTAAAATATTGAATTTTATTTAAATCAATGGTACCCTGAGAATTTTACTGATTTAATAATCCCTCTAAAATTCTCAAAGAATAAACAGTAAGCTGTATCTACTTATAACAAGACTTAGCAATATTGTCACTGATTTGGCAAAAGATAATTCTTTCTCTAAAAGACATGGTTTCAGAAAGATATAATTTATATTAAAATACTTTGGTAACAATCCCAATTTTATACTAACAGTATATTTAGTAAACTAGGTTTTGTTAAGAAAATGTTTGTGTACTTACTATTCTCTTACTGGTTTTGTCATTTTTTTAACTTTTGCTTTAGGAAATAGATTTGAACACTTTTGAAAAAAAATATAATACCATTGGAGTGAATATTTTCCGAACTCACCAGTTGTTCTGTCAAGATGTTCTTAAGCTGGGTCCTGGTGAAATGGGTATTGTCAGCAATGGGAAGGTAAGTACAGAGAGGCACTGCGGTACGGTGGTTCACAGACTCTCTTCTATCACACCATACCTACGGCAACACATGTGGAAGATGGTGCTTATATGCTGGACACACTTGACAAGCCTCAGAATAAATTAGACTTCGAGATGTCCAGTTCATAGCACACATTTCTTACATTCATACAAATGAGGGAGAATATCCATAGAGAGCTAGCTGTCATTTTTTTTCTAATGTGAGTCTTAGAACAAGCAACTTAGTAGTCATTACAACATTGTATTGAAAGCTACTGTCATGGTATGTGTAGTAAGTACATGGTTACAGCTTTTTCTTATTGTACCTTAAAGACACTGATATACTTTCATCCATTTTTAAAGTATGTTATTGTCGTCGTCAATTTGGTTTCAACTCATAGAGACCCTGTATAGGGTTTCCAAGGAACGATTGGTGGGTTTGAACCTCCACCTTATGATTAGTAATCCAGTGCTTATCCTGCAGCGCCACACCATTTAGTTTATTAATGTGATCTTTAAAAAGATATAAGAAAATAACTTTTAGTCTAGCATCTTAATTAAATTTACTATTACAAAGTCAGTGGTTCAAACCCATCAGCTATTCCTCGGAAACCCTATACAGGGTTGCTATGAGTTGGAACCGACTCCACAGCACTAAACAACAACATTAATCGTTTCTTGTCCTACCTGCCATCACTTTTTTCTGTTGTTATTACATGACTATATTCCTATTATATATAACATTTTATATTCTACTTTTTTCTCTTAATATATCACCTGTAATTTTCTAGTTAATTATCAAGCAAAATTTTCAAATATTTTCCTATTAATTTTTTCAGTGTGATAGTCTGGATTTATTTCTTAGACGTTATTAAGAAATTTGAATCTTTAGTAAGAAATTAGCAATCACCTAACTCAATATGGTCTCTGTATCTCTGCTTGAATTACCAGAATCCCCCATGTTCAAAGCTCTCCGTGAGCTTACAGCTTTCCTTATTTTTATGAAGTCAGTTCACATGCATGTTTGATTCCCATATCAAACAATCCTTAAAATTATTTCACTACCAGAGATCTTGGTGTGGTGTTGTGGGCTAATGTATCAGACTGCAAAGTCGTTTGAACAGCAAGGTCGGTGGTTCCAGCTCACCAGCTGCTCCTTGGAAACCCTATACAAGGTCTCTATGAGTCGGAATTGGCTCAACAGCACTTAACAACAATAACTCCTTATATAGTCATCTGTAAATTATAGTCTTTTTATACACACTATGTTGTTGTTGTTGTTAGACTCTGTTCAGTTGGTTCCAAGTTGTAACGACCTGTCTAAGGAATAAGGAGCTCTGGTAGCGTAGTGGTTACGAGTTGGGCTGCTAACCTCAAGGTCAACAGTTTGAAACTACCAGCAGTTCTGTGGGATAAAGATGAGGCTTTCTGCTCCTGTAATGGTTTATAGCCTTGGAAACCCTGTACAGGGTCTCTATGAGTCAAAACCGACTCCACGGCACATCACCACCACCACCATGTAAGGAGTCCTGGTGTGGTGCTGTGGATTAATGCACCGAACTGCAAAGTTGTTTGAACTGCAAGGTTGGCGGTTCAAGCTCACCAGCAGCTTCTTGGAAACCCTATACAGGGTAGCTATGGGTCGAAACCAACACACTGGCACTTAATAACAACAAACAACAACAATAAAACGGAAATGAATTTTAGAAATTACTTTCATCATTTAACTTGGATTGAAAAGTTTTGGGTTATTATTTAGAAGCATTGTGATTTATGATGCAAACTAAAGCTTCCAAATAGGACTAATGTGGTATTTTTAAAATGTTGTCACCTTTAACTTTAGTGTGTGTACAAATGTGAAGTACGACAATATTTGTCACACTTGTTTTCCTGTAGATTTAGTAAATGGTGGATTTGATGCATGCTACCTGTGTAATCTCTAATCAACTTTTACAAAACAAAGAAATGTGTTTCGATGAGAAAATGTTTGCCAAAAACGTATTTTCTATAAAATATATTACAACATAATGTTTTTATTTTAAGTTCTTTGGCCCTTTAGATGAAACCTTCTATGCGGAAGACTTTTATTTGTTGGAAAAGATAACATTTAACAGTTTAGTAATGAATATTAAAGATATCATTAAAAATATGGAAATCAGCTCAAAAAAGTAAGTATTGAAAACCATAAGATTAATTCATTTTGGGGTTTTTACACTTTGAATGTGACTACTGTTTAAATTGGAGTCCTGGTGCGGCACTGTGAGTTAATGCGCCAGACTGTAAAGCCGTTTGAACTGCAAGGTTGGTGGTTCAAGTTCACCAGCTTCTCCTCGGAAACCCTATAAAGGGATCGACTCAACAGCACTTAACAACAACTGTTTAAATTAGAAAATATTTGAAATATATATAATGAGACCTTTGAAGAGAATATAAAGAAATAGAAGCCATTCATTTACACACCACACTACCTGGTGTGGTAAGGAGCTCTGGGAGCATAGTGGTTATGAGTCGGGCTGCTAATCTCATGGTCAGCAGTTCAAAACTACCAGTGGTTCTGCGGGAGAAAGATGAGGCTTTTTGCTCCTGTAAAGATTTACAGCCTCAGAAACCCTATACAGGGTCGCTATGAGTCGGAACCGACTTCACGGCACATAACAACAACAAACCTGGTGTGGTGCTGTGGATTAATGCTGCAAAGTCAGTTTGAACCACAAGGTTGGCAGTTCAGACTCACCAGCCACTCCTCAGAAACCTTATACAGGGTCGACTTGACAGCACTTACCACAAACAGCAACCAACACAGAAGTGCGGTGGTTCCATACATTAAGCACTGGACTGTGATACACTGTACTAGCCCACCAGCTGCTCTAGGGAGATAGGTGAGGGTTTCTGCTCCCAGGAAGATTCAAAGCCTCAGAAACTCTCTACAGTGTTGCTGTGAGTCGGAACTGACTCCACAGCACTTAGCAGCAACCATGTTACTGTTTTGCTTGACTTGTTCTGCAGCAGAGTCCTGTCTTTGTCTTTGCCTCACCCGCCCCAAACTCCTCCCTACTTAGCAGGTGCCCATTGCCCTAAAGATGGTGTGCCTCATTCCATACTTGTGCTTCATATATCCAGTGTTGGTGTTGTTAAGTGCTGTGGAGTTGGTTCCAACTCATAGAGACACTGTATGGGGTTCCCAAAGAGCAGCTAGTGGGTTTGAACCGCTAACCTTGCAGTTAGAAGTCCAGTACTTATCCTACGGAGCCACAAAATATCTATCGTTACTATCACTTAAAATGAAAATAATTTAAGAGGTCATTTGGGGCCTCAACGATTTTTGTTTTCTGATCTAAGTCGCCTGTCTTTACACACACTATTTCCACTGTCAGCCCATGTCAGAGCAGGAAAAGCAGATGTCCCTAACCATTTCCTCTATTGTTCCTGAACATTGTCAGCTTAAAGATGAGTAATTAATAATAGATTAGTTCTTAGGGACATGCATTTAAGAGAGTTTGGGAATGTAGATTATGACTTTGATTAATTTATTCATTGAATATGCATTTATTAATTGGCCATTAAATGCAATGAAATATATTCACCAGGATCCCAGTGCCACTGAATGTAAAGTTTTTCAATTATAAAATGGAGTTATCTAAATTTTCCTTTATTTTTTTAAAGAATCTTACCTAAAATGTCACCCAACATCTTCTGTCCCAACATAGTATTGTTAAACATATAATACATTTTTTCTCTAACATAGATTTGTAATTTTATTATTTTAATCTAGGTATTGTATGTACTTCAACTGATTTCAAACAACTGGTTTGAAACTATAGAAATCTTGACTTCTTAACTATGGTAGTAAATTATTTGTAAATGGGTATCTTACATTTTTCCTTTGTTCTTTCTGCTTCTATTTTCCCTGCATGGACCCAAATGCCCTGTAGACACGTAGTACACGCTCAGCAAACATTCATTGACTTGAATGAATACGTCACAAGATAGTTTTACCTTTTTTAGAACATCATTGAACACTACTTATAAATGTTTATAAGAGCAATGATAAGAAATATTAAGATGGTTTTAAAAGCAATTATTGTAGTTTTTAAGTGCTGTTGAGTCAAATTTGACTCATCATGACCCCATATAGGGTTTCCAAGGAGCAGCTGCTGGGTTTGAACTCCTGACCTTGTGGTTCAAACTAACCTTGTGGTCTAGTGCTTTATCCTACAGCAGTTCCACAGCAGGACTTCTGTTTGAAGTAACAAATTCTGTCTAAATGACAAATGTGAAAGAAAAGTCTATTTATATTGCATTTGTCTATTGGAAATATTTTAACTTCTCCAATTGTCACATAAAGTATGTTCTTTGCCAAAAAACTCACTTTGTTTATTCCTCTTGTTTTAAGTACCATGAGTGACCTTGTTATGAAAGTGGATGTCCTTGTTTCCTCTTTGCCTGAACGTGTATCTCGGTCTGATGTCACATTTCTTAAAGAGCATCACAGGTGAGAATAAACAGTGTCTCTGTCACTACATGCTATACTTGATTATTTCTTTCTGTTCATAAAATAGCAATATTAGAAGTGTAAGTAAAAGTTCTTTGATGATACTATTTGACATGATTAGGAATAGAGATTCCATTTATATATTGTAATAAATAAAGGGTGATACATATATATGATATGAGTCTTTAATTATGCTTAATATGATTTGACTTAACTTACTTTATAACCAAGAACATTTGGAATTCTTATAATATCTTCAGATAGTTAGTATAAATAATCTTTTTTATATTCTCATTCTATAAAAGACATGAAGAGTCATGATTAATAAAATTTAGGGTGACAGATACACAAATTAATGTCACAGCTTCACTGTGGTAGCATAATGAGTTTAATGTTGACCTGCTAACCAAAGGGTCAGCAGTCAGACCACTAGCCATTTGTGGGAGACGATAAGGTACTTTGTGCCCTTAATGATTTACAGCGTCGGACAGGTTCTGGTGCCGTTCTGCTAGGTCCTGTAAGGTTACCATGAGTTGAGTATACAGCGATTTGTCTATATGTGTCCTAAGAACTTTCAGATAGTATTTTAAAGCAGTATATTCCAGTGTGTTCTATGCAACACTACTCTGAGGTGTGATAGTCTAGGAAAAAACTGTTCTTTAGCGGATTAAATTTGTGGAACACAGCATCTTGCATGCACCTTCTAGAGATATTTTGTTGTTATTGTTGCTAATTGCCATTGAGTCAGTTCCAACTCCTAGTGATCCCGTACAGAGTTTCTGAGGAGCAGCTGGTGGGTTTGAACTGCCGATCTTTTGGTTTGCAGTTCAGTGCTGATCCTACAGCGCCATACCAGGAGTCCACTTTAGAGATATTAGAATATATTAATGGTTCTTAAAGCCATGCAGTGAAAATAAAAAAAGTTCAGTTTTGCTAATCCAACACTTGGGTAGCTTATTTCTTTTTGGCATGCTTATTAAAAAGTATATCTTCACAAAATTTAAGTTCAGGAAAACAGCCATCACTATACAACACAACTTCTCTATGAAGTTAAATAAGGTCTACAAACAAGAAATTATCTGTGTCTTCTGAAGGGAGTTGCCTTTTTGTTTTTGATCAAGGCCTATGTAGAATTGGAGTGAAAGATATCAATTACACATTATGCTAGTAAGCAGTGTTGTTGTTAAAGTGCCGTTGAGTCAGTTCTGACTCATAGCAACCTGTGTAGGGCTTCCGAGGAGCAGCCAGTGTGCTTGAACTACCAGACTTGTGGTTTGAAGTGACTTTGCATTCCAGCTTATTAACCCACAGTACCACATCAGGACTCTAGACATGTTTTATTTTGTCATGTTACTCTAACCACCACCATTATAAAACTAAGTTAAATGCTACTTTAACACAAACTTAAAATAACTGACATTTCTAAAGTTTTCTGATTTTATGATAGATTCAATCTTATATTGCTTTTTTTTTTTTTTTTACTCTGAAGATACCATATACTTTAACAATTTGAAAGTTGTTAATACAATAAACACATATGAATCAGTAAAGAGATATGAACATCTAACCTAATAGAAAAACCAGGGCCCAGGCTAGCAAGAGTTAATGATAACCTGATTAAAAATATAAAATTATTTAAGAATCAATAATAATCAGGATTCAGTAATATAAATAGAACCTCTATATATGTGTTAATAGCCACTGCCATTGAATCTGTTCTAACTCATGTTGTTGTTGTGTGCTATGAAGTTGTTTCCGACTCATAACAACCTTGTATAGGGTTTCCAAGAGAGGCTTGTGGGTTTGTTTGAACCACTGACGTTGAGGTTATGCTTACCCTACAGCGCTTTGCCAGGGCTCCTTTCAACTCATAGCTACCTTTTATAGGGTTTCCAAGATACATAGATTGACCTACAATTATGGGAACTGGTTAAATAGTCTCTGGTAGCGTAGTGGTTACAAATTGGGCTGTGAACTGCAGGGTCAGCAGTTCGAAACTACCATCTGTTCCATGGGAGAAAGGGGAGGCTTTCTGCTCCCATAAAGATTTACAGCCTCGTAAACCTTGTGCAGGGTCGCTATGAGTCGGCACCGACTCCAACGGCACATCACCACCACCTTGGGGCTTTAACTTCTGATGCAGGAGCTTGAAACCCTTAAAGTCAGCCACCAAGCAAGGAAGCTGGCTGTAAGGAGAACAAGGTCAAGGGCGAGCTAGAACCCACAAGCATGAGCTGAAACCACAGGAGTGTAGTTTGAAACCTGCATCAGCTCTTACTGCGCTGAGCTTAGTATGTAGTGGGTGTCCTACAGTAGAAGATGGGAGTTCTCTGTCACAGAGCAGAACTCCCACATGTGGCCCAGGAGTTAGGAGGATCCCAGGGAAGAACAATTGTAGACCCAGCTGCCAACAGGTGAATCAGCAGGTCATTGTTAGTTTGTGAGCTGATAATTGCTTCCATTCTGCCCTAAATAATCTAAGAATCTCTTTGTGGCCCACCTAAAGCAGAAATATATAGGAGTTCTAGGAAATGCAATTCGTCCCAGACAAATGAGCACAGCATAAAGCCAGTGGATGGACCAGTAGGGAAACATCCCCTGGTCCAAGGATTTGTTCTGCCTGGCCCCGTGGTAAGATGCAAACAGCAAAAGCAGTTTAACCATAATTATATTTCTAAGTCACATTCTTTATTGTTGTTGTTAAGTGCTATCCAATCACTTACGACTCATAGTGACCCTGTATACGGTTTCCGAGGAGCTTGAACTGCTGACCTTAGGGTTCAAACGACCTTGCAGTCCAGGCGCATTAACCCACAGCGCCACACCAGGACTCATGATTTGTAAAAGTAACTGTTCTACATTCTCTTATACTATTTCTAGACTTCCTCAGCTCATTTAGCTCTTAAAAGGTTCAGGTTTAGTCTGTAGAAACACCTTTCTTCATTTATCAAAGAGCTGACTTCTGATTTCTTTCCTATCAAGGCAAATCATAATTATATTTTATATGCATGGCTCCATTTTTATATATAAATGTCAACATCAATTTATTTACTGTTATTTTAATGTCAGAAAATATTAGTGAGTCTTTGGAAGTTTGTTTATATTGGAATAATATGTACTACAGAAATTTTAAGTTCATGTTCATTTTTATATTACTATTACTGTTTCTATTGTTGTTAAGTGCAGTTCAGTCAGTTCCAACTCATAGTGACCCTGTATAGGGTTTTCAAGGAGCAGCTGGTGGGTTTGAACTGCCTATATTCTGTGGTTTGAAGTCCAGTTTACATATTGTTTTATGAGAATGTACAGATATTTCTACAGTCACATAGAATGTTTAATTTCAGCTTTGTAGTGATGTATGTATATTTATTGAGTTTTACACAGAACTATATCTTTGCTACTCTGCATCTATGTCTGTTGGAGACGTAATACTAAAAAATTTTTTACAAAGGTTTAGGTCTATTATTACTGTAATAATATATTTGATTATTTAATTCCATATAAAATAAGAAGCTAAAGTGAGTCCCTAAGAATACTTAAATTTTACAAGATAAATTATAAGTTTTGCAAAAAGAAAAAGAAAAGGGCAGGGGTAAATTAAAGTTACGAATGTTTTGCTGTGTGTTTTAAGCAACAAAAACACTGTAAACAAATTATAAAAAATAGAAGATCATAAAACTTTTGGGACAGTAGCTATGTTCAATATCTTGATGGTTTTATGTATTTATTTATAAGTCAAAACTTATCACATTGTGCTTTTAATTGTTGTTAAGTGCTTTCAAGTCTATTCTGATACATAGCAACCTTGTATAGGGTTTCCAAGGAGCAGTGTGTGGGTTTGAACAGCTGACATTGTGGTTAGCAGTCTACTGCTTATTCTACAGCACAACACCAAGACTCTGTACTTTTACTATGTGCAAATAATTTGTAGTATGCAAATAATTTACTATGGCAGGTATATTTGTAGTAAAGAAACCAGGCCAAGGTTGATCTTCTGGCGTGGCACTATACAAGATAAGCACTGGACTACTAACTGCAATTTTTTTTTTCAGGCCATTCACTCATCAAATCATGCTTTTATTTTCTTTAATCCTTCCCAGTTTTGTGCTATTGGATCAACCATTAGACTCACATGTTAAATGTTGTTGTTAAGTACCATGGAGTCGGTTCTGACTCATAGTGACCCTGTATAGGGTTTCTGAGGCTGTAAATCTTTACTGGAGCAGAACGCCTCATCTTTCTCCCACGAAACAGATGGCAGTTTTGAACTGCTGACCTTGCAGTTCGCAGCCTGATTCATAACCACTACACTACCAGAGCTCCTTGTATGTTAAATAGCCTGGCCTTTTTTTTACTGCTATGAGAAAGAAAGCAATTTGTAAGAATGTGGATATCTAGGATCATAATTAGTTAATTGTTGTTGTTGTGAAGTGCCATTGAGTTGGTTCCAACCCATAGTGACCCTGTATAGGGTTTCTGAGGAGCAGCTGGTGAGCCTGAACCACCAACCTTACAGTTCAAATGACTTTGCAGTGTGACGCATTAACCCACAGTACCACATCAGGCCCTAATTTTCCGTCTTTCATCTTATTTTCTGTTTTTCTAGCATTGTAAAGATAAATCCTCAAGAAAAGAATTTGTTCTTTGATGTCCTTGCTATCGTGGATCCATTGACAAGAGAAACACAGAAACTATCACAGTTACTGATTGTAAGATAAGATAAAGATTTTTATTTGGTCATTTATAATTCATCCTTTCAAGTCTATTTTCAAGGATTTTTTTTTTTTAAATCATTTGTCTTTTGATTCTTCATCAACTCTTGATAAAGATTGTTGTATTTTGGTGTAGAAATTAATTGAGCCCAGTGTGTCAGGGCAGCACAGTGGTAGGTGTTTTCCTCGTGGTGCAAAGGATGACTTGTGGAGAAGTTGATGCTCACACTTAATCAGCTTCAGCTTAGAGAATGTTGTTGTTGTTGTTAAGTGCCGTCGAGTCAGGTCTGACCCATAGCGACCCTGTACAGGGTTTCCGAGGGTGTAAATCCTTACAGGAGTAGAAAGCCTCATCTTTCTCCCGCGGAACGGCTGGTAGTTTCGAACCGCTGACCTTAAGGTTCGCAGCCCGATTCGTAACCACTACGCTACCAGAGCTCCTTCAGCTTAGAGAATAGTAAGTAAAATTAGCCAAAGAGGTGACGTTGAAGAAAAGGGAATATGAAGGCTGGCCACTTTCACAGAGGCAAAACTAGCGGTGTCTTTCACAAGATTGCAATTCATTTTTCACCTGATAGTCTAAGGGTAAGCCATCTTAGTTGGTAAGGCAGCGCCACACAGTGTCTGGGTGTCATACTCCTCTGGCTTCTAGTTCAACACTCTTCATGAGGCAGCTTCTACTACTACTGGTCCAGGATCACTTGTCCAGCACTTACCATCATCTCTGCCAACCAGTAAGGAAAATCAAGAGTTGAACACAGTCCATCCAGTCCTCTGACTATGCCTCACCACAAAGGATCCTGGAAATGATCATCTTAAGCTGGGTGACAGGAGCCTGCAAAAACCTGAGAGTCTCACGAAAGAAAGTCGGGAACAATGAGTATGAGGAGACAACGTTCTCCCAAAGTGCCTTTTGTAGCTCACCATTTTACTCAGTAAAAATTCAGCTTTCAATAGTTAAATTTGGAAAACTTAACAACAACATACAGGTTTTTAGTGATTTTCAAAATTTTGCAGAACTTTATATTTGATATTGCTTTCAGTGCATTTTTAGACACATTTAAATATATATCTCTCGAAATAGAAATGATTTATCCTTGGTTAGGTGACTTCACTTCTAGAAAACCAAAGTAATTAAGAACGAAGTCTGGTAAATGGCATAAGTGATAAAGTTGGGTGATACTGGTGTCTGTTCTTTCAAAAATGTAAAATGCAATTTCTATCAGTAATTAGTTTGCCTTGCTAAATCATATTTAAAAGAAGGAAGTTTGCATGTTTTAATTCATGAGTTTTCACAAATGGAAAGACTATGGTTCTAGTGTTTAGTGTATGACACTTGTTAAGTGCATTAAGTCGGTTCCAACTCCTAGTGACCCTGTAGAGGGTTTCTGAAGAGGGTTGGTGGGTTTGAATGACTGATCTTGGAGTGCTTATCCTACAGCACAACACCAGGACTCCCACTTAATTCCATAGTTGATCACTTCCCCCACCACCACCACCTTTTTTTGTTTATAGCATTTGCTTTCTAGCTGCTCACTATATGACTGTTGTTGTTAAGTTCATTCTGAACTCCTTGCAACAATGTTGTTAGATTATTCTTTAGAAAACAGCTATTAGTAATCATATTCATAAGGAGTGAAGTAAGCATGTTGCTTTGTAGTGTACAAATTCCATATTCGGATGTTTTTGTTGTTAAGAGCCATGAAGTTGATTTCTACTCATAGTGACCCTATTCCTAGAGTTGGTATATGAAACTGTTATGTAAAGGTGGTGGTGGTTGTTGTTGTTGTTGTTGTCAGGTGCCATCGAGTCTCAATGTTAACATCATTGTGCTCTAGATTACATCAATCAATGCTAATAACATAATTTATTACTAAACACCTCACATAAGATGTTTCTTTATAGTATAAATTAACTTATTGGAATAGCATTGCATTCAGCACTTGGAGAAAACCATGGGACGCAGACCTTCTTGTTAAGTAACACAATGAGTGGAAGAAGTGAAATTCAGCTCAAGTCTCTTGAACCCTTATTGTTAGGGGCCATTAAGTGGATTCCATGTAGAGCAGCCCGGTGTCCAGTGGAACAAAACACTGCCCAGTCCTGCTTGGTCTTCACAGTTGTTAGGTTTGAACCCATTGTTGCAGCCGCTGGGTCAGTATAGCTTGTTGAGGGTCTTCGTCCTCTTCACTGACCCTTTACTGTACCAACCATGAAGTACTTAAACTCTTCTTGTTGTTGTTTGTTAAGTGCTGTCGAGTCAGTTCCAACCCATAGCGACCCTGTATAGTTTCCGAGGAGAGACTGGTGAGATTGACCCGCTGACCTTGCAGTTCAAACAACTTTCCAGTCTGGCGCATTAACCCACAGCGCCATAATTGTTGTTGTTGTTGTTGTTGTTAAGTGCCATTGAGTCGGTTCCAACCCATAGCGACCCTGGATAGGGTTTCCGAGGAGCAGCTGGTGAACTTGAACCACCAACCTTGCAGTTCAAACAGCTTTGCAGTCTGGCGCATTAACCCACAGCGCCACACAATTAGTATGGTATAGTTCCTCATTATACTTACGTTTCTTCTGTTGCATATATCTGGTTTATTTTTCTTCTTCCCAATGTATATTCTTTGTTATTTATTAGTTTTCACAAATCATTACTGACTTATTGCTTGCTTAGAGACATACCCTATAAAAATCAGTCATTTTTCTTCTACTTCTTATTCTCCAAGGAATTAAAAGGAAATAGGAGCATTGAATCTGTGAAGGGACTTCAACAAGTTCATGCAGAAATTCCTTTTTTTTTTTTTAATTTAATTTTTCCATGAACTTTATGAAGCTTACTTGAATATGTAACCAAGGATTTCTTAAATCTCTGAAATTTAGGGTGAAATTCCCAAAAGATCAGGGCACCCTTGCCAGTGTTGTTGTGAGGAGTTCAAAACTACTAAGCTGTTCAGTGGGAGAAAGATGAGGCTTTCTGTTCCCATAAAGATTTACAGCCTCAGAAACCCTGTGGAGGGTTATTATGAGATGGAACTGACTCCACAGTACTTAACAACAACAACAATCTAGGTTTAAATAATTATTTTGATTTTTCAGTTGTTAGGATGATATTATGAGGAAAAATATACTTTAAGGAAGAGTTAGGTTTCCTAATCCTGTGGCATTGAAAACAATTTTTGGATTTAAATCTTACTTGTGCCCTTACTTACTGTGTGACTTTTGGGCAAATTGCTTAATCTCTCTGTATTTCAACTGTAGCAACAACTACCTCTCAGGGATGTTAGGAAACCAAACAAGATAATGAATATAGGATTAATGCAGTGCCTGGTACAGAGTAAATGCTCAGAAAATGTTTGTTATTAATATTATCTAAAATCAAATATGGAATTTTGTTTTAGGTGCTTAACAAGATTATCAACATGAAAGTCAGGTTGTTCATGAACTGTCGGGGTAAGCTTTCAGAAGCCCCTTTAAAGAGGTGAGTCTTGCTGAACATAATTTCATTGAAAAGATTACCAAATGATAAGAAAAATGGCCATGATTTTAAAGCTTTTACAGAATTTACCTTAATTGACATCAAAATGAAAACAACCTAGCTTAGCAAATTGATCCAATCTAACAGAAGAATTTATGTAATTGCATGTGAATACATAGTGATTTCTGGAAACGTAATTTATAAATAGGCATTTATAAGTATATAAATGTAAAATAAGATTGTATTAAACCATTGTTGGCTTAACTGAACTTTCAGTAATTCTTTAGAGCAAAGTTATCTAACTGATCTTTATTGTATTATCACAGTTACAATTTTGGGATAATGAGATAAAATGAGTTTAGAATGATATGCCAATGATATAGAAAGTATTTACTGTGATAAACAAATATCCCTTATTTGTATTGTCCTGCTGTTGAAACAGTAGTGTCTTTAAGGTTGGCACAAAATATATCCTTCTTTTTTCAGCATAAGAATTGCTGTCATTATTAGTCACTGCTACTAAATATTGTTAGGTACCATCGAGTTGGTCTAACTTACAACAACCCTATGCACAACAGAACACAACAGTGTCCTGTCCTGGGCCAACCTCATAATTGTTGCTTCACTTAAACCCATTCTTGCTGCCACTTTGCCAATCCATATCGCTGGGGGTCTTCCTCATTGTCTCTGACCCTTCACCTTACCAAACATGATATCCTTCTCCAGTGACAAGTCCCTTCTAACAGTATGTCCAAAGTATGAGAGACGATGTTTGGCCGTCCTGGTCTCCAAGGAGTACTCTGGCTGTACTTCTTCCAACACAGATCTCTTTGTTCTTTTGGCAGGCGACAGTACTTTCAATATTCTCCTCTAACACCATAACTCAAAAGCATCAATTCTTCTATGGTCTTCCTTACTCACTGTCCAGCTTTTGCATACATATGAGGTTATTTAAAATACCATGACTTGGGTCAGGCACACCTTAGTCCTCAAGCTGACATCTTTGCCCTTCAACACACCAACATACAATCATCTATTAAATACAAACATAACATCATCACAATGTGTTAGAGACAACAGCCAATTTCAATTTCACAGTTCACATGAAGAAATGAGAGAGCGGCTCAAACAGCTGTCTAAGATGCAGAGCCAGAAAACATTTCTGAAGAAGAAAAGGTAATGGAATTACTTGAGGAAGAATTCAGAGGAGTGATACTTAGGTACCTTCAGTGGATTGATAAAAAAGATTGAGGAAAGCAAGGAGAACACAAGAAAAACTTCAGAAAAAAATTCAGGAAAATACTACAAGAACAACCAGACAAAGCGGTTTGGGGGCAGGGAAGCAGAGACAGACAGTGAAAACTCCTCTGCCAAAAGCCAAAAAAAAAAAAAAGCAGCGAAAGAGCAGTCCATAGAAAAACTGCAGAGCTCTCGGTCTTGTTTAAAGTTCCGGGCGCCAGTTCCCTGTGCCCATTGAGAAGAAATCTGCAGGTAAAAGCAAAATACAGTGATTTCTGAATCGACACAGCCATGGCTGCCAGCAGCCAGAAGTCCTCAGGCCGGAGTACAGGGCCACAGCCTAGTGGAGGCAGAGACCCAGCGCTAGAAGCCGTCAAGCAGCGCAGGGAGAGGTGTAACCGATTTATCATCTTTCGCTTTTCATTTTTCATGTAACTCTCCTCTTCACCCTGATCATGCTTTCACTGCAGAGCCCAGACACCTTCAGGTGGGCGGGAGCATGCCCCCTTAAAGGGTCCGGCATTAGAACCCACAGTTTTCTAATGCCACAGAGAGAAAACCTGTAGGCTGCTGCTTATGACGTTTTGACCCTGGGAACCCGCCCCATAGTTTACCTAGTCGGGACCCTTTGCACAGCAAAGGCTAGTGAACAGTGTCAATCACAATTTTATTTTTGTTTCTGATTGGTGGTTTCTGTCTCTGTTTTTATATTGTTTCTGTCTTTGGTCCTTTGGGCCTCTTTTCCCAGGGATGGTAGCTTTCTCCACCTACCTTACTCAAGAAGAGACAGCAATTGTGCCCATATAACCAAGCTACAATCATACCCTGTAGTACCCCACCATCTGGACAAGAGCCAAAACCAGCTGCTAGGCATTAGACGAGAAAAGGAAAGCCTATCTCCAGATCATATCCACCAGGAGATGCACTCAGTAAGCTTAACAAAAAGCAACATACATCCATTTAAGCATTAAAAACTCACATAACTGTTGAAAATGTCCAAGAAAATACAATTAAAGATATCAACACATGTTTAAAAACAGAAAAAAGAAACTGAGACAAATGAGCTGGAAGCAGACATAGACTTTCCAGTAGAAGAGTAGGTTTTGGATCTTCCTGAGAAGGAATTCAGAAGAATAATATGGAAACAAATTCAAATGCTCCGAAAAGGGGTGGAGGAAAATAAGGAAGAAGTCAAGAAAGTGCTAGGAGCAATCAGACAAGATAGATACGGCATTGGGAACAATCCAAAACCTGCAAAAAGAAGTCCAGATGATTAATAATAAAATATGAGAAATGGACAATACACTGAAAGGGCAAAAGAAGCAGAATAGAATAAATGGAAGCCAGAACTAGTGAGCTGGAAGACAGTCTCTCAATACTGCTGAGATAGAAGAGCAAGCTAAAAAAAGAAAAATCTGAAGAGAGTTTAAGATTAATGCTGGATAACATGAAGAGGAACAACTTAAGAATTATTGGCATTCTGGAACAGAAAGAATCAGAAAAGTCCACAGAGAAGATAGTTGAAGAACTTCTGGAAGAAAATTTCCCTAACATCTTGAAAGATGAGAAAATAAACATTCAAGAAGCTGAATATACCCCAGGAAAGATAGACCCCAAAAGAAGGTCACCAAAACATATAATAATCAAGCTCTCCAAAATCAAAGACAAGGAGAGAATACTAAAAGCAGCCAGGGAGAAGAGAAATGTCACTTATAAAGGCAAGCAAATCAAATTAAGCTCTGACTATTCAGAATAAACCATGCAGGCAAGAAGGCAATGGGGAAACATATACAAAACTACAAAAAAACTGCCAACTAGAATCATTATCCAGCAAAACTATCAATCAGATACGAAGGTACAATCAAAACATTCCATGATAAACAGAATCTGAGAGAATTTATCAAAACCAATCCAGCACTTCAAAACGTCCTAAAGGGAGTCCTGTGGACTGAAAACCAACAAGAACAGACAACAACCAGAGATTGACAGGCATGGCAACACCACCTGGAACTCAGTCGACAAATAGAGTTCAGAACAGAACAAGACTACAACAATGAACTCAAAGGAGCTGGGAGGTCAACCAAAGATCAAAATTATATCGTTGTCAAAGAGAAGGGATAAAAGTATCAACAGAGATCCAGGTGGTGAGGATGTCAGGTAGATTACAGGATACAATAGATTCTCTTAAATGGAAAGAAAAGTAAGTAGACTATAAGGTTACCCCAAAGACAGTTAATACTTCACAATGTACCAACAGAATGCAGAAATCATCGGACAATCTCTTTGGTATCTCAAGCAAGTAAAGTTTTGCTAAAGGTAATACAAAAACGGCTACAATCATACATTGACAGAGAACCTCCAGAGGTTCAAGCTGGATTCAGAAGAGGCCGTAGAACAAGAGATACCATTGCTGATGTCCGATGGATCTTGGCTGAAAGCAGAGAATACCAGAAGGATGTTTACCTATGCTTTATTGACTACGCAAAGGCTTTCGATTGTGTGGATCATGACAAGCTATGGACAACATTGAGAAGTATGAGTATTCCAGAACACTTAATTATACTTCTGAGAAATCTGTACCTAGACCAAGAAGCAGTTGTTTGAACAGAGCATGGGAACACTGAATGTTTCAAAATTGGGAAAGGTGTGCTACAAGGTTGTATTCTTTCACCATACTTATTCAACCTGTAGGCTGAGCAAATAATATGAGAAGCTGGGTTCTATGAAGAAAAATGTGACATCAGGATTGGAGGAAGACTCATTAACAACCTGTGATACACAGATGATACAACCTTGCTTGCTGAAAATGAAGAGGACTTGAAACATTTACTGATGAAGATTAAAGAACACAGCCTTCGGTATGGATTGCATCTCAATGTCAAGAAAACAAAAATCCTCACCACTGGACCAATAAACAACATTCTTATCAATGGAGAAAAGATTGAAGTTGTCAAGGACTTCATTCTTCTTGGATCAACTATCAACACTCGCGGAAGCAGTAGTCAAGAGATCAGATGACTTATTGCACTGGGCAAATCTGCTGCACAGGAACTTTTTGAAATATTGAAGAGCAGAGATGTCAGCTTGAGGACTAAGGTGCGCCTGACCCAAGCCATGGTATTTTCAGTAACCTCATATGGATGCGAAAGCTGGACAGTGAATAAGGAAGATCGTAGAAGAATTGATGCCTTTGAGTTATGGTGTTCGAGGAGAATACTGAAAGTGCCATGGGCTGCCGAAAGAACCAATAGATCTGTTTTGGAAGAAGTGCAGCCAGAGTGCTCCTTGGAGGCCAAGATGGCTAAGCTTCGTCTCTCATACTTTGAACATATTGTCCGGAGGGAACAGTCGCTGGAGAAGGATGTCATGCTGGGTAAGGTGGAGGGTCAGAGAAAAAGAGGAAGACCCCCAACGAGATGGATTGGCCCGGTGGCATCATTGATGGTGTCAAGTGTGGCAGCAGTAGTGAGGTTGGCCCAGGATTGGACATTGTTCCGTTCTGCTGTGCATGAGGTCACTGTGAGTCGCTTCCGACTCGATGGCACCTGACGACAACAACAATAACAGTAAGCATCTCTTCATATGTTTATTGGCCGCTTGGATCTTCTTTGGTGAGTGTCTGTTCATGTCCTTTGCCCTTTTTTGTTTGGGTTGCTTGTCTTTTTATTGTTGAGATGTTGGTGTTTCCTATGAATTTTAGAGATGAGACCTCTCTCAGATATGTCAGTGCCAAAATTCTCTTCCCAATCTGTGTGTTCTCATTTTACTCTTCTGGGGAAGCCTTTTGATGAGTGTGAGTATATCATTTTTAGGAGTAGTCATCTATCTTATTTTCTGCTGTTTTTGAGGTTTTCATTATGTTTCTTCTGTTGTTGTTGTTAGGTGCCATTGAATCAGCTCCAGCTTATAGCGACTCTCTACACCACCTAATGAGCTACTGCTCCAATCTGGTGTGGTGCTGTGGGATAAAGCACTGGACTGCAAGGTGAATAGAACCACGAGGTTGGTAGTTCAAACTCACCAGCTGCTTTTTGGAAACCCTACACAGGGTCGCTATGAGTCAGAACCAACTCAGTGACACTTAACAGCAACAGTGTACCACAGAACACAACACTGCCTGGTTCTGCACCAGCCTCATAATTGTATTATGTTGGAGCCTATTGTCGTAAGCACTGTGTCAGATCTTCTCATTGGGGGTCTTCTTGCTTTTCACAGACCCTCCAGTTTACTAAGCATGATGATATTCTCCAGGGACTGGTCCCTAAGTTTGACCCTGTTTTTTCTTCTGTAATCTTTATAGTTGTAGATTTTACATATAAGTCTTTGATTCATCTTGAGTTAGTTATTGTATCTGGTGTGAGATATGGATCCTGTTTCATTTTTCTACAAATCGATATCCAGTTTTGCCAGCACCATTTAGTAAAGAGACAATCTATTCGCCATGTAGTGGGTTTTGACTCTTTGTCAAAGACCAACTATCCCTAGGTGGATGGACTTATTTATGGATTTTCGATTTGGTTCCATTGGTTTCTATGTCTGTTGTTATACAAGTACCGGGCTGTTTTGACTACCATGACTGTGTAAGTAACTTCTCCGATCAGAAAGTGTGAGGTCTCCTACTTCGTTCTTCATCTTCAGCAGTGCTTTGCTTATCCAGGACCTCTTTTCTTTCCATATAAAGTTGGTTCATAGTTTTTCCATCTTGTTAAAAAAATGTTTTTGGAATTTGGATCAGAATTACATTGTCTCTATAGATAATATTGCTTTGGATAGTATTGACATTTTCACAATATTAAGGGAAAATTCACACTTCTTTATTTCAAAACTTACTACAGACAAGTATTAATCAAAACAATAAACAGGGTGGGACATTATAAGGATAGATATACAAATCAATGGAAAAAAACGGAGAGTCCTGAAATAAAGCATTTCCTTGTGGTCAAGAAAAACAACTGTATCAATAAATGATTTTGGGACAACTGGATAACCATCTGAAAGAGAGCGAGATTGGACAGCACATACAGACAAAAATGAATCAAAGGCCTAAATTAATACTGTTGTTGTTAAGTGCCTTTGAGTTGGTTCCAAATCATAGCAACCCTGTGTAGGGTTTCCAAGGTGCGACTGGTGAGCTTAAACCACTGACCTTGTGTTTCAAACTGACCTTGTAATCCAGCACGTTAACCCACAGTGCCACAAAAAAAAGTATACGTTCTTTGATAATAGAGGCGTACATATTCATAATTTTATCATTGATGTTTCACAATATTAAGGGAAATATTATCGTTGTTGTTGTTAAGTGCCATTGAGTCGGTTCCAACCTATAGTGACCCTGTATAGGGTTTCCGAGAATCACCTGGTGGGTTTGAGCTGCCAACCTCGTAGTTCAAACCAACCTTGCAGTCCAGTGGTTAACCTACAGCACCACACTAGCACTCCATTATTGGTTCTAATTAGTTAAGTGTCATTGAGTTGACTCTGACTCATAGCGACCCTGCATAGGATTTGCAATGGATTTGACCTGCCAACCTGATCCTGTTGCACCACACCAGGACTCCATATTTGGTACTAAGAACTAATAAAATGGCTGAAAACAGACCATGGTGAAATATGGAAAAGGCTCCGTGAGTAAATGCAGTTCATATATAAATTATTAAACTAAAAGCTGCATAAATCAATGTATTTTAAATGCATTCTAATGAATTTTTAAGAAATTATTAACAAGTGTACATTATATGCATACTCTGCAATAATATCAACAAAATAATAATGATTGCCTACTAATTACAACCGACTCGATGGCACTTAGCAGCAACAACTAATTACAACATTAACTACTCCATAGTGTTTTCAGTGTTCTGTATCTAAGATTTCATGATTATGCTGTTAAGCCATTTTATGTCTTAAAATACTTTAGTATACATAATCTCAGTATTGGTCATAGTATTTTTTTGTTTAGTTTAACTTTTTTGAGTGAAGGTTTACAGAGAATATCAGTTGCTCACAGTATTTATTTTTATTTATGTTTTACCTACAGCTTTTACCGCTTTGTTTTAGAGCCAGAACTGATGTTAGGAGCCAATGACCTTCACTCTCCTGGACCAGTGGCAAAATTCCTGGATATCCCAGAATCACCCCTTCTAACCCTAAACCTGATTACTCCAGAAGGCTGGTTGGTTGAAACAGTACACAGCAACTGTGACCTTGATAATATTCACTTAAAGGATGTAAGTTACCAGGTGAAGTTATAGAAGGAAGGTGAAGAGGATAAATTGTTATCAGCTGTTAAAATTCAAGCCACTGAATGATCAGACTGTTGGTGCATATGTGAATGCATACAAGAATTTTCTTCTTTATAGTTTTAGGGCCTGATTCAGTCTTTTCTTTAATTTTTACCAAATCAGTGTCTTTACTTTTCTAAATGGATTCACCTTCTTTACTGCTTTAGATGAGTGAATGATGTAGGAATATGGGATGGACATGACAATTTAGGACATCATCATTGCTTGTTTGTTTTGCACATCAAGTTTTGCTTTTAACTCAGAAAGAAATAGTTTCCTCTCAGATTTTATTTGCCTCACAGCTTTTAGCCTGATAAAGGAAACCTAACTAGACTTGAAACAGAAAACGAAATTCACTCACATACTGTAGGCTGGACACATTGCTTCTCCTCATCTCCAACTTGAGCCTTGCTAGTATACAGTCAGACATCTCTTTACATCGGTTGTCAGTCCACAGCCAAAGAGGAGGAGATATTTTTAAATACACTGACTCTTCTAAAAATTGAACTTAGATTTGGAAAAGAAATTTAGAAGCCAAAAAACAAACAAAACCATTTTAGAAATATTTAGCTAGTATCTAGAAGCTAGGTAGGTAGAAAAGGCTTCTTCTCATTTCCTCCTCCTTGCCTGGGTCTACACAGTTTCTCTCTGTAAGTGACTGTGCCTTTAAAATGCAGGCACTGCCTTGACCCAGGCATGAATATTTTGCCAAACAGTTGGGCTACGATTGTTCATTATATTTGTTCTTGTTCCTCTCATGAGTTGCCACTTGTCTAGAGAGTTTCCTTCTTGACAAGTTGCTTTTGTTTCACTCATGAGTAAATTTTGTGGGATCCTGTTTATTCCCTAACTAACAGGAAAAAAAATACCTAAAATTCAATAGTAGTTTTCTGAAAGCTGCCCTCCAAAGCCAGAGGGAAAACAGGAGGGCGACAAAATAATAAAATCTGTCAGGGAAAGTTCCACAGGTCATCAAAGTCTTCTAAAATTAATGAGAATACTATGGCAAGAAGTTGGAAAAATATTCTTATTTTCACTGTGATTAATCAGATCTCTGAAGGATGGCTCTATTGGATTTTTATTAAAGAATAGCATCATACAGCTATAACTTTAAATATCTTGCTAAAACTGAAAAGTTTGTAGCTGGAAAATTAGTACAGCTCAGAATAGATCTTTAAATTCAGTATGCTGATGGAAAATTTCAGCAGCTGTTAAGCAATTGAGAATAACAACATTTTTTTCTGTGAGTGGCCAGTATAGTCAATTGTCTTAGAAGGTGTTCAGTGATGTTTTTTAAATAACTAATAGCTGTAATTCTAAAGTCATTAGTCAAAATACAGAGAGGTAATTTCCTCTATCTTTGTAGAATAAAATGAATGCACAGAAGAAAATGATAAAAATCTAGTAGGTGTTAATGTTAATAACTACCTTTCAGTCATTAATGTTAGTTAGCGTTTATGTTAATGTAAGAGGTATGTAGCATTAAAACTAAAGGACAACAGATGTAGTGGACTTTCTATACTGTGTGTACTATATTATCTCCAACTATCCTGGTTGTCAGTAAATCAAGTTGGTTCCAGCTCATAGCAACCCTGTATATGGTTTCTGAGGAGCAGCTGGTGGGTTTGAACTGCTGACCTCATGGTTTGCAGTCCTGTATTGGTCCTACAGCTCCACACCAGGAGTCCAACTATCTTAGAGGAATATGAAATAGCAACATAAAGACATTTGCTACAGTAGAAAGAATGAATTGTGAGTAAACAGGAAACAAACATGTACCCTGATGAAAAAAGAGCCCATTGCTGATGCTGCCACTGTGCCAGTCCGCTTCGTTGAGGGACTTACCTTTTTTGCTAACGTTCTGCTTTACCAAGCATGATGTCCTTCTCCAAGGACTAGTCCCTCTTGTTCACTTGTACAAAGTATGAGGGATGAAGTCTGGCCATCCTGGCTTCTAAGGAGCATTGTGGTTGTTCTGAAGAAACAAACAGGTTTGTTTCTTCAGCTGGCATTCCATGGTACTTTAAACATTCTTCTCCAACACCGTAACTGAAATGCATCAATACTTCTACTGTCTTCCTTATTCGTTGTCCAACTTTTATATGCATATGAGGCTATTGAAAATACCATGGATTGAGTCTGACTCACTGTAGTCCTCAAATTTATGTCTTTGAACTTTTTGTTCTAGAACTCTTTAAAGAGGTCTTTTGCAGCAAATTTGCATATGCATACATTGTTCGATTTCTTGACTGTTGTTTCCATGAGTGTTAATAGTTGTTGTTGTTGTGAAGTACTGTTTAGTCTGTTCCGGCCCATAGCGACCCTGTATAGGATTTCCAAGGAGCAGCTGGTGAGCTTGAACCACCAACCTTGCAGTTCAGACGGCTTTGCAGTCTGGCACATTAATCCACAGCACCATGAAGTCTGTGATAACTTCAATCTTCTCTCCGTTTCTCATGATATTATTTATTGGTCCAGTGGAGAGAATTTTGGTTTCTTTACATTGAGGTGCAACCCATACTCAAGGCTGTGGTCTCAGATCTTCACCAGCAAGTATTTTAAGTCCTCTTCCCTTTCAGGAAGCAAGGTAGTACATCTATATATCTCAGGTTGTTTATGAGTTTTCACCCTATCCTGATGCCACATTTTTCTTTATATAATTCAGCTGTTCAGATTGTGTGCCCAGCATACAGATTGAATAAGTATAATGAAAGAATACAACTCTGGTACACACCTGTCCTGATTTTAAATCATTCAGTGTCCTGGTTGGTGTGGCACTATAGGATCAGCACTGGACCTCAAGGTCGATTTTAAATGCAAGGTGGGATTTAAACCCACCAGCTGGCCACTTCTTGGAAACCCTATACAGGGTTGCTACGGGTGGACTGACGCTAAGGAACTTAACACAGGCAACAACTAAGAGGAAGTTTTAGGGCAATATAATGTTAAGCTGTAGCAAATTCCATTGAGTTTCTTATCTAAGGTTGTTGAATAATCCTTCAGGTACTGCATGTTACGGAGTATCCTTCCTCACATGTTTTCCTGCTCAGTGTTGTTCATTTATATATGAGGTTGGGCTAGAGCTCATGTCATGGGATGGTAAATAAAGATATGAAGTTGCCCCCTTAAATGTGTTCACTAATATTAAACAGCATCATATTTCTTATGATGAAATTTGTTACGAGAATTATCAATATGAAAAGCAATGACCTATTTCTTCCACAGATTGAGAGAACTGTTACAGCCGAATATGAACTAGAATATCTACTGCTCGAAGGCCATTGTTTTGATATAATGACAGAAGAACCGCCGCGGGGTCTACAGTTTACACTGGGCACAAAAAATCAAGCTGTTGTGTTTGATACAGTAGTGATGGCCAATCTTGTAAGTATTAGAAACACTTCATTGGTAAGACTTAATTCGATGTTTTGGTAAACCCTTCCAGTATTTACAATAGATGAAATCATTTTTATGCTGCTCTTTCTAATATAGAGTGTTTCTTTATACTAGAATATATATTAGAATATTCTCTTAAATGCAATTATTAAAATCTACTACAATATCCTTTCTTGAAATTCAGTCATAGAATTCATTCTGTCCAGTTAGTAAATAGATCCTTGAATGAGTCGTGTATAATCTTTCTTGAGTAATTGAATACATTTTTAGTCCTTTAACTACATGATCAATTTTTCTCATTGTAAAAGGGATATTTCCAATTAAAAGCAAACCCAGGTGCTTGGATACTGAAATTACGTCGAGGAAAATCTGAAGATATTTATCAAATAGTTGGGTGAGTTATATCAACCACGTTTAAGTAAACTTTTAATGTGATATAACCAGTAGCATTAAAACAATCACTAAAATACATAAATATGCCGTCACTATCAAATACAAACTAATTATAAAACCCTAACATCTTCTCTGTCTGATTGCCAATGTTTTATCATCTAAAGTATATATATTGTTCTTAATTCTATTTACTCTCTGTTTTCTACTGATTTTCTAGGTACTAACATTACTCGTATGTTATTTAATGATTGTTACTGTTGTTGTTGTTAAGTGTCGTTGAGTCGGTTCCAACCCTTAGTGACTCTGTGTAAGGCTTCTGAGGAGCAGCTGGTGAGCTTGAACCACTGACCTTGCAGTTCAACAGCTTTTCAGTCTGGCACATTAAACCACAGCGCCACACCAGGAATCTGTTTAATGATGTTGTTGTTGTTCAGTACCATGGAGTTGGTTCTGACTCTTAGTGACTCTGCACAGGATTTCTGAGGCTGCAGATCTTTACAGGAGTAGAAAGCCTCATCTTTCTCTCGCGGAACAGCTAGTAGTTTCGAACTGCTGAACTTGAGGTTAGCAGCCCGATTCATAACCACTATGCTATCAGAGCTCCTTAGTAGAGTATATATTATATCCACTGACTTAAAACCTCAATGAGACTGTACTACAGGAGCAGAATGCCTCATCTTTCTCCCACGGAGCAGCTGGTGGGTTTGAATGGCCGTCCTTACAGTTAGCAACTTATGCCTAATCCTCAACCTATGCCACCAGGGCTCCTTACATAACTTTTGCTGTTATTAAGTGCCATTGAGTCACTTCTGACTCGGCAGCTGCTCCTTGGAAACCCTATATAGATATATATCTCTATAGATAGCTATCCTGTATAGGGTTTCCAAGGAGTGGCTGATGAGTTTGAACCACTGACCTTGCAGTAAACAGTTTAGTACTTATCCTACAGTGCCACTCCAGGACTCCTGATATATATAATGTTGTTGTTGTTAAGTGCCGTTGAGTCCGTTCCGACCCATAGTGACCATGTATAGGGTTTCCGAGGGGCAACTGGTGAGCTTGAACCACTGACCTTGCAGTTCAAAGCGACTTTGCTGTCTGGCGCATTAACCCACAGTGCCACACCAGGACTCCTGATAGATATCTAATAGACGGCCTAAAATAAAAAGTTCGACAATAACAAGGTAAACCGGAAGGTAGAACAGCAAGAACTCGAATACACTGCCGGTGTTAATATAAGTGTTACCACCACTTTGGAGCAGCTTGTCAGTGTTTTAAAGTTGGCAACCGTATGTCTCCATGCATACGATGTAGCCTTTCCACTCATGAGGTATCACCCAAGAGAAAAGGGCTTCATACCCTATAGAGACTCTTACACTGAAGTTCATAGCCACTTTATTGGTAATTACTCAGAGCTGGAAGTAGTCCAAATGTCAACAAATGAAAGTATAAGCAGATTGTGGTGTATCCATACAATGGACTACTACTCAGCAATCAAAAGGAATACATTCCTGATACACATGACAGCATAGATGAATCTCAGAATAATTATGCTGAGTTAAAGATGTAGTATTCCTTTTATAAGCAGCAGAATACTAGGCAATATAAATTATAGTGTCAGAAGTTGGATCATTCACTGCTTGAGGATAGAGAGAGGGTGGAATGGTAAAGCAAGGAGAGGCAAGTAGAGGAAGAGGAAGTGTTAGAAGTAAATGCCGGTAAGAAAGACACCTGGTCTTGTCCTTCCTTAGCGCATTGCAGTGTGAGTAACAGTAGCTCTGACTGTATGTTAGAAGTGCTATCAAAGGTGCCAGGTCAGCAGTTCAAACTCACGAGCCACTCCTCAGAAACCCTGTACAGGATCGCTGTGTGTCAGAACTGACAAGATCGATGGCACTGAATAACAACAGTGACGTGGTGGTGTAGAAAATGAGCACAATATATTGCATTTCTATTTACCCTTCTTATAAAAGACTTGATTTCAAGACATGATTTCAAAAGTGTTTCATGCTGTCTCAGTTTCTTTAATCTAGTATAAACTGCATTGCCATGAACTCATTTTCAGGATCTTCCATAGCTGTTTCACTGTTGCTTTTTTAGCAAAGGGGGAAAGTGCTTTGGAATTGGATCAGCTATAAGTGAAATCTCTGTTCTCTTACTAATAAACTAT